CTGACCCAAGCCATGGTATTTTCAATAACCTCATATGGATGTGAAAGCTGGACAGTGAATAAGGAAGATCGTAGAATTGATGCCTTTGAATTTTGGTGTCGGAGGAGAATACTGAAAGTGCCATGGACTGCCAAAAGAACCAATAGATCTGTTTTGGAAGAAGTGCAGCCAGAGTGCTCCTTGGCAGCCAAGATGGCTAAACTTTGTCTCTCATACTTTGGACATATTGTCAGGAGGGAACAGTTGCTAGAGTAGGATGTCATGCTGGGTAAGATGGAGGGTCAGAGAAAGAGAGGAAGACCCCCAACGAGATGGATCAGCCAGGTGGCCTCATTGATGGCGTCAGGTGTGGCAGCGGTAGTGAGGCCGGCCCAGGATTGGACATTGTTTCGTTCTGCTGTGCATGGGGTCGCTATGAGTCGGTTCCGACTCGATAACACCTGACAACAACAACAACATCATCTAGCAAGAAAAAAGCAAGTCTGTCAGGCCTGACAGACAAACCACATGAATAATCTGTGAAATCTCAACATAAAAGGATGCAACTATCTCGAGAATTACGCTGTGCACATGCAGATACCTAACTGACCTTCAGAGACAAAAATAGTACACAATCTTTCTCCCATTAACTTCTCAATTATCTATCTGCACACCTCTACGGGGTGACTAGAGGCAGCACCTGAGTGAGCGGACACCCCTACCTACTACTGGAGGACTCTACGGTGCACACACACTGCCTGTGTAGAAAGGTGACTGGCCTGTTGACCACAGTTTTATTTTTGTTTCAAAGTGGTGGTTTTTGTCTCTGCTTTTATATTGCTTCTGCTTTTGGTCCTTTTGATCACACATTTTTCCTGGATGTGGGAGTTTTTTCTCCCTATGTTATCCAAGAAGAGACAGCAATGGTGGCCATATAGCCAAGCTACAAGCATACTCCATAATATTCCACCATTGAGACAAGAGCCAATAACAGCTGCTAAGCATTACATGTGAAAAGGGAAGCCTATTTCCAAATCATATCCACCAGAAGACACCCAGTAAGCTTAATAACACAACAGCAAACATCCATTTAAGCATTAAAAAACTCACATAATCACTGGAAATGACAAACAAAAAACAACAAAAGATCTCAAAACATGTCCAAAAACAGAAAAGAGTAGCTGACACAAAGGAGCTGGAGACAGACAAAGGCTTAAGAGAAGAAGAAGAGCAGGTTTTGGATTTGCCTGAGAAGGAATTCAGAAGAATGATATGGAAACAAATTCAAATGCTCTCAAAAGGGGTGAAGGAAAACAAGGAAGAAGTCAGGAAAGTACTACAAGAGTAATCAAGCAAGATTGATATAGTATTGGAAACAATTCAAAACCTGCAAACAGAGGTCCAGATGATTAATAATAAAATATCTGAAATGGACAATACATTGAAAAGGGGAAAGGAGCAGAATAGAAGAGATGAAAGCTAGAAATAGCGAGCTGGAAGACAAATCTCTCAATACTGCTAAGATAGAAGAGTAAGCAGAAAAAATGATAAAAAAAAAAAATCTAAGGTGAGGCTAAGATTCATGCTGGATAACATGAAGAGGAACAACTTAAGAATTATTGTCATTCTGTAACAGGAAGAATCAGAGAAATCCACAGAGGAGATAATTGAAGAGCTTCTGGAAGAAATTTTACCTAACATCTAGAAGGATAAGAAGATAAAAATTCAAGAAGCCAAACATACCCAGGGAGGATAGACTGCAAAAGAGAGTCACCAAGACATATAATAATCAAACTCTCTAAAATTAAAGACAAGGAGAGAATCCTAAAAGTGGCCAGGGAGAAGAGAAGTGTCACTTACAAAGGCAAGCAAATCAGATTAAGCTCTGACTTCTCAGCAGAACCCATGCAGGCAAGAAGGCAATGGGGAGACATATACAAAACCCTAAAAGAAAATAACTGTCAACCAAGAATCGTCTATCCAGTAAAACTATCAATCAAATATGATGGTACAATCAAAACATTCCAGGATAAACAAAATCTAAGAGATTTTGTCAAAACTAATCCAACACTTCAAAACATACTAAAGGGAGTTCTTTGGACTGAAAACCAACAAGAACAGACAATAACAGAGTTAGACAGGCGTGGCAACACCACCGGGAACTCAACTGACAGATAGCAGAGTCCAGAAAAAAATAAAACTACTACAATGAATTCAAAAGAGCTGGGAGGTCAACCGAAGAGCAAAATAATATCAATGTCAAAGAAAGGATAAATGTAGGAACAGAGATCCAGGTGGTAAGGATGTCAGGTAGATTACAGGATAAGTTAATAGTTACATACAGAATAGTAATAATATAGAAAAGTTAATAGACTATAAGGTAACCTCAAAGAAAGTTAGTACTTCACAACTTACGATGAAAATGAACTTCCAAGCAGAACAAGCAAACATGAAAACTAAGAAGAAACGGACAAGAAATAGCATAGAAAACACAAACTCAGCATAAGAAGGCAAGCAGAACAAAGGAACAAACAGCAATGGCAGCAAGTAAGTCATGCCTATCAATAATTACACTGAATGTCAATGGATTGAATGCACCAGTGAAGAGACAGAGAGTGGCAGATTGGATAAGAAAACAAGCCCCTTCAATATGCTGCCTGCAAGAGACATACCTTACACACAAAGATAAAGTAAAACCTTTAAATTAAACTTGTATTGCTTTTCTGTTGGGGTTGGTTGTAGGGGGGAGTATGAGAATAAGAAATGAGCAGTGTCAGTAGGGTGGGGACAGCAGCGGCTGATCTGTGAGCAAGGAGAGAATGGAATAATTCTAGAGAGAAAGACAGACAGAGTACGGATGACTGCTCCACACAAGGCTAGGTGCTGAGACGGAAATAGGATAAATAAGACGGGGTTCAAAAAGTTCTAGAAAAATTGCATTATCTTTTCATTCCATGCTCCACAACCTTTTTTGAAGCTCCCTCAAATACAATAGGATCCTTTGATCATATGATTTATAATCCAGACTAAAATGTGGACCATAAGAGTATATTTATTCAGCTGTGGGTGTTTTAAGAAGCTCTGGTAGTGTAGTGGGTTATGCACCAGGCTGCTAACTGCAAGGTCAGAGTTTCAAATCCACCAGCCACTTCTCAGAAACCCTATACAGGGTCCCTATGAGTCAGAACCAACTCGAGGACACTTAACAATAACATGTGTTTTAAAGAGTCATTGCTATTGTCATATATTGTCACCGTGGCTCTGACTCATAGTGACCTTATGAACGAAATGTCAACCAGTCCTGGGCCATCTTAATGATGACAGGTGTGTCTGAATCCATGTAAAGGGTTGTTGTTGGTTAAGTGCCATCAAATCGGTTCCCATCCACAGCAACACTGTATAGGGTTTCCACAGAGAGGCTGGTGAGCTTAAACTGTGGCTCAAACTGACTTTGCAGTCCAGTGCATTAAAATGATGATAGATTGGTGGACCTGGTAAGACTGAGGTCAGTTCTTCAAGAACAAATGATCTCTGCGGAGGACAAGGCAGTCCTCCATCTATAGGGAATGCATGGAGACTAGAGTGTATATGGGGTATTGTGGAACAATCTGGGAAACAAAGTTACCTGGCTTAAGGCAAGGCCCACTTACAAATGACCTTAAAAGCCCATTAAACAATTAAGTTCCACAACCTATTGTTCTACAGGAAATGATGTTAAACAAATAAGCAAAACAAAAAACAAAAAGGTTTCTATAAGTTCCATTTAAAAACAATGGAAGTGAGACAGCCCAAGTTCAGAGGAGCCTGACCCCAGTATGAGGTAAAGGGGACCTGTCCTAGGGCAGATGTGAGAATAATCAAGCACAGATGATACTTGGGAAATACAGCTAAAACAGCTTCTTTCATTATGGAAACAGAATGACCACACAAAATAGGGTTATGAACTTTTACTGCTAAGCATTTACCGGCTAATAAAAAGAGGGAGTAGAGAAGGGCTTCTAGCTAAATAATTAGCTCAGTGTTGAGGTGATGGCTGGATATTTAAACAGCAATATCTTTTAGGCAGCTAGTGATTAAAGAGGAGACAAAAAAAACAAAACAAAAACAGAAAACCCCACAAAAATGAAATTAGAGAGCTGACAACATACATTATACTAAAGGTTTTAAGTGTTGTTGAATATTTTGACAGAAGATAATATAGAGAGCAAAAACAAAGGTTGTTGCTGTTGTTGTTAAGTGTTGTCCAGTAGGTTCTGATTCAGAGTGACCCTGTATAGGTTTTCCAAGGAGTATATGGTGAGCTTGAACTGCTGACTTCGTGGTTCAAACTGACCTTGCAGTCCAGAGCATTAACCCATAGTGGCATACCAGGACAGAAAAAACAAATTTTGGTGATAAACCAGTAGTCAGAAGGGAAAGTTAAGTCAACGAATGTGAGAGAAACAGCTATAGAGAAGTAAGCAAACAGATAAGACAAAGAAAGCAAACTTTACAATGTGTTTTGTGATTTGTGAGGAGTGGAGTTGCTGGGACACTCATGATTTAAGTGAGAGCACAAGGATGCTTACCATCTTCTTGGAGAAGTCTGATTGACTTATATATATAGCATTAGTATATGCTATAAAATAAACAAACACAAATTCTTGGCACAATTATGTAAGTCCTAAAGGCTACTTTTTAAACCGTTTTTTGAAACTTTACCTCTTATGTATGACTTCGGTGGTGAAGCGCTATTGTATGCAAAGTGACCCAACACGGATGTATCCCGGGAAAAACAAAGTAATACCTGTGAATAACATTGGAGAAAACAACAACAAAAATTAAGCACTGTTATACAATCAGCCAATTTTTTGCTATTTCCTGCTGAGGAGGGATTGTGAAGGAATCCTCTGAGTTCAGTACCGGGCCTTGCAATGGGAAGAGTGCCCTCTATCGGTACACCTAGGTTAAGTGCTACAGTGGGATGCCAAGTGTGGATGGCCCCAATTGAAAGATTTCTTACTGTTTGCCACCTACACCTTCAATAACAGCAGAAAATGTAAGTGATATCTACAACTGACCCTTCTTTGTGTTTTATTTCTGGAAAAAGGAAGCACCTAGGGAAATTTAATTGAGGAGAAATGTATAAAGCACAAGCTGTAGTAAACCACAATTTTGTTGTTAGGTGCCATCAAGTCGGCACCGACTCACAGCGACCCTATGCACAACAGAACGAAACGCTACCTGATTCTGGGCCACCTTCACAATTGTTGCCATGCTTGAGCCCACTGATGCTGCCATTTTGCTACTCTATCTCGCTGGGTGTCTTCCTCTTTTTCTCTGACTCTCCACCTTACCAAACATGATATCCTTCTCCAGTGACTGGTCCCTCCTGACAATATGTCCGAAAAGCTATCTGGGGAGTGAAGGAAACTGGCATAAGACTCATCACTGGGATGCAACAGGCAACTGAGCATGTCAGAGTGGGATGGCTGGCAAGGAGGGTATCCGGACCTACAGTAGAACAAGCATAGCCTAGTACAGTGCAGAACCTGACCTGCAGGTAGTGTGGCAACTCTAGATTCAAACCAAGAAGACAGAAAGTCATGATCAAGGATGTCCATTAGGACAAACTGGATGACAGACACCACATGAGATTTTTAAGGAGCAGTTCAACCGCTGGGCAGGTGAATGGTGACAATAAATATAGGCACTAGTATTAGAAGACCTGGGCTTCTAATGATGTTACCAAGAAAGGAATTCAGTAATAACTAGAAAACAACAGAATGCTCATCAGTAAAATCATTCACATTTTCTCTTACTCACATTTAAACTGGTTATCATCTGGCAGGTGAAAACGACAATCTTTAATCTGCAAGGTTTTAATTACTAATGAGGCTGAACACTTTTTCACACAATTCTTTTGTGACTTTACAGTTCATCTTACTCCATTTCTAAATTTATGTTTCTAGAATGATTAATTTCTTTAATTTTTTGCACATTAAAGATTCTAAACGAGGTCGAACACTTTTCCACTTGCAATTCTTTTGTCATTTTCTAGTTCATCTTAGTCCATTTTAAAATTTATGTTTCTAGAATGATTGATTTGTTTAATTTTCTGCGTAATGATTCTAATCACTAGTCTCAATACAGTGAAACTTGTGAAAGCCACAGTAAAATGGGACTACCTTGCATATTGGAGTCCCGGTGTGGTGATGTGAGTTCATGTGCTGGACTGAAAGGTCGATTGGAACTGCAAGGTGGTTCAACCTCACCAGCTACTCCTTGGAAAACCTACACAGGGTGGCTATGTGTTGGAACCAACTTGACAACACATAACAACAACAACAATCTTGAATATTAAAACATGATGAAAAGCACCAGAATATTGTCAGATATAGTGATGGAAAATGAGCTCCTCAGGTTGGAAGGCACTCAAAGTATGATTGGGGTGAGCTGCTCTCCCAGAGTAGAGTTGGCTATGATGAAGTGAATGGTGTAAAGATTTCGGGACTTTTGTTTGCTGAGGGGGAACAACTCAAGCTGAGGAGAAATAGCTGTAAACATCCATTAATAATCAAAATATGGGCTGTACCAATTATGAATCTTAGAAAACTTGAGATTGTCAAAAATGAAACAGAATGCATAAGCATAGATATCCTAGGCATATATGTGAGCTGCAACAGACTGGTATTGGCCATTATGAATCTGACAATCACATGGTTTACTAAACCAGTAATGACAAATTGAAGAGGAATGGCATCACATTCACCATTATGAAGAACATTTCAAAATCTATCTTGAAGTATAATGCTCTCTGTGCATCAGTTGCTCTTTGGAAACCCTATAAAGGGTAATTATGAGTTGAATCTCACTTGATGGCACTTAACAATAACTAAGACCAGTTAATACCACTATTACTCAAATTTATACACAAACCACTAAAGTCAGTGATGATGAAATTGAAGAATTCTACCAACTTCTTCGACAGCCACCACTCGTCTATCAGTTTGTCATACTGCGGTGCTTGTGAGTTGCTGTGATTCTGAACAGTACGCCACTGTTATTTTAAATAACCGGTAGGGTCACCCAAGGTGGACAGGTTTCAGATGAGCTTCCAGACAAAGACAGACTAGGAAGAAAGAGTGACGAACTACTTCCGAATATTTCGTCACCAAAAACCTTATGAATGGCAGAGAAACAATGTAAGACATAGTGCTGGAAAATGAGCCCCTCAGGTTGAAAGGAACTTAAAATGCGACTGGGGAAGAGTTGCTTCCTCAAAGTACAGATGACTGTGATAACGTGAAAGGAATAAAGGCTTTGGGAGAAAAGTCTGTGGGATCATCATTTGCTGATGGGGCACCGCTCAACATGAAGAGAAACAGCTTTAAACATCCATTGAACATTGGAACATGGAATGTACAAAGTATGAATCTGGGAAAATTGAAATTTGTCAAAAATGAAATGGAATGCATAAACATCAATATCTTAGGCATTAGCGAGATGAAATGGACTGGTATTGGCCATTTGAATCAGACAACCACATGGTTTACTATACCGGGAATGACAAATTGACGAGGAATGGTGTTGCATTCATTGTCAAAGAGAACATATTCAGATCAGTCATGAGGTACAATGCCGTCTTTGACAGGATAATATCCATGCGCCTACAGGGAAGCCCAGTTAATACCACTATTATTCAAATTTACGCACCAACAACTAAAGCCAGTGAGGATGAAATAGAAGAATTCCATCAACTTCTTCAATCTGAAATTGATTAAACATGCAATCAAGATGTATTTGCTCATTATTGGTGATTGGAATGCAAAGGTTGGGAGCAACCTTGGAAAATATGGCCTTGGTGATAGAAATGATGCTAGAGAATGCATGACAGAATTCTGCAAAATCAATGATTTGTTCATTACAAACACCTTCTTTAGACAGCTTAAGAGATGACTATACACATGGAGCTCATCAGATGGAATACATAGAAATCAAGTTGACTACATCTGTGGAAAGAGATGATGGAAAAACACCCTATCTTCAGTGAAAAGATGGGCACGCTGTGGAACAAACCATCAATAACTCATATGCAAATTCAAACTGAAGCTGAAGAAAATGAAAAGACATCCATGAGAGCCAAAATATGACCTTGAATACATTCCACCTGAATTTAGAGATCATCTGAAGAACAGATTTGACACATTACACACTAAAAACAGAAGACCAGAGAGTTGTGGGATGACATTAAGAACATCATACATGAAGAAAGCAAAAAGTCATTAAGAAGACAAAAAAGATGGAAAAAGTCAGAATGGATGTCAGAAGAGACTCTGAAACTTGCTCTCCAGTGTACAGATGTTAAAACAAATGCAGGAAATGAGGAGGTCCAAGAGCTGAACAGAAAATTACAAAGATCAGCTCGAGAAGATAAAGCCAAATATTCCAACAAAATGTACAAAGATCTGGAAACAAAAAACCAAAAAGGAAGAACACGCTCAGCATTTTTAAAGCTGGGGGAACAGAAGAAAAAATTCAAGCCTCGACTTTCATTATTGAAAGATTCTGTGGACAAATATTGAATGATGCAGAAAGCATCAAGAGAATATGGAAGGAAAATAGAGTTATTGAACCAAAAGGAAATGATTTAATGTTCAATCGTTTTAAGAGGTAGCATATGATCAAGAGCCAATGATACTCAAGGAGGAAGTCCAAGGTGCATTGAAGGAATTGGCAATGAACATGGCACCAGGAATTGATGGAATAAAAATTGAAATCTTTCAAGAAAGTGAGGCGGCACAGGAGGCATTCACTCATCTCTGCCAAGAAATTTGGAAGACAACTATCTGGCTGACTGACTGGAAGAGATCCATATTTGTGTTAGTTCCAAAGAGAGGTGACCCAATGAAATGTGGAAATCATCGGACAATCTCTTTGATATCACATGTGAATAAAGTTTTGCTAAAAGTAATACAGAAATGACTATACTCATACATTGACATAGAACTTCCAGAGGTTCAAGCAGGATTCAGAAGAGGCCATAGACCGATGTCCTATGGATCTTGGCTGAAAGCAGAGAATATCAGAAAGATGTGTACCTGTGCTTTATTGATTACGTAAACACCCTCGATTGTGTGAATCATGACAAGCTATGGAGAACATTGCAAAGTATGAGTATTCCGGAACACTTAATTGTGCTCATGAGGAATTTATACCTGGACCAAGAGGCAGGTGTTTGAACAGAACATGGGAACACTGAATGTTTTAAAATTAAAAATGGTGTGTGACAAGGTTGTATTCTTTCACCATACTTATTCAACCTGTATGTTGAGTATATAATCCAAGAAGTTGGGTTTTATGAAGAAAACGTGGCAACAGGATTGGAGGAAGACTCATTAACAACCTGCGATATGCAGATGATAAAACCTTGCTTGCTGAAAGTAAAGAGGACTTAAAACATTTACTGATGAAGGTCAAAGAGCAAAGCCTTTGGTATGGATTACATCTCAATGT